AGTGAGACAGTGAGACAGTGAGACAGTGAGACAGTGAGACAGTGAGAGTGAGAGTGAGCGAGTGCGGCCGCAAGATACGCAACGCTAACCGCATGCCAAAGAGCGACGACAGGACGGAGTCGAACTTGCGAAGAGGGAGGAGGGAGGGAGGGAGGGAAGGTGGGAGGAAGACAAGGAGGAGGCGAGGGGAGGTGGGGTGGGGAGAGGGGAGAGGGGAGAGGGGAGGAGGGGAGGGGGGGGGGTCTTCGACCTGAAAAATCAGGGGTTAGGATTTGCACCCGGTCGAAAGAAACCTTGCTATCGCAAGAGTAACTCCAGCTAGCTTCGCTAGCTTTCGTGAAAACTGTTTGCCTCCGGGTCGATGCCAAGCAGTTGGCTCGCTTTGCTCACTGCAGCATTTCCTGGGCTGGTCGGAGTGCATTTGTTCGTGAGGAATAGCAGCGGTCCCGGATCAGATCCAAAAGTCCGAGTTGCTGGAGGTGTTTCCTGCTTGTGCGGGTGTGTGTGTGTGCGCGTGGATTCATCTTATGTGTCTTCGGATGTTGCTTAATAGATTGACCGTGGATGTTGCTTCGGTGTGTGTGACACCTGGAAGATCTCAAACTGTTGGTTTCTGCTTGTAATTCACCGTGTTTGTCACCGTCCAGTAGCTTCGGCCTCTCTACAGATGGAACAGGCCTTTCCGGGATCAGTCATGCAGACCCACAGGGGAGTTCCCGAATTCTGAACAATGACAGAGGTATTGCACAGTAGACTGAGTCATAGCTCGCGGTTTTGGGTCGTCCAAACAATTGTTGCTTAGCTTGCTTTGTGTGACGTTGCTACGGCAAAGCGGCATCACACAAAGTTCTTCGGAGAAGTATTCTGTGATAGTTTCCAGATGTGTGCGCAAGAGAAGAAAAGGCATGAAGTGACAGGACCTGAAGGCAGGGAAGACATCAAAGGAAAAATAGGAAAGGTTTACAGTATGCCAAGGAGACCAAGTCAAAAGGAACAAATCAAAGCTCAACATCAGAACCCGTGGCGCTTATACAAGTTAGTTTGGTTGTGTAGTGTGCTGCGCGCATGGTGGAACAAGGTCCAGCAGTGTAGGTTGCAATGACCAGGCCCTAGTTCCTACGCAGGTTTTTACAATGATGCCTGGCTCATGGGCTGTCCCTGCTCATGTGATTTCCTGCTCCTTGCCTCCACACATACTCACACACACATATGTGCTTTTCTATGCCTTCACTTCAGGTCTGTTCATTTGTCTTCCCTTTCTCTTGCGAACACATGTGCATGAACTCCCTCTTCGGGGGTGGCTTCTACTTTGCTTGATTCTTTTGAGCTTTGATTCCCTTGCACTTGAATGTTTTCCCTAGCCGAGCTTAGCTCAAACTGACAGTAAGATCAACACAGAAGGGGCTTTGGTGTGAACGGATGTGTCATTCGATAGATGCTTGAGCCCTCAGTTGTGACGGCCTGTGTGCGCAACCTGCTATAACCAGCAGTTTAATGCTTATAAGGCAGTTGATTGTCCCTGGACCAACGAAGACAAAGCTTTATAAAAAGCTGCACTTTCTCAACACATTCCCATTTTCAGTGTGTGTGTGTGTGTTTGTGTGCGTACACCTTGGATTCATAGGTTTGTTCGGATCTTGCTTTGTTGGCACTCGTTTAGCAGCGGGCTCGTTGACACATAATTAGATGGCACCAGCTACGTAACAAAAAACAATCTACGTCATGGAAACGTACCTGGATCTGTGACTGACACAGCTTGTAATTAGAACAAGCTCGCCAGCCTTTGCACCTTTTCATCGTTACAGCAAATGTGCATTCTCTCTTGCTGGAGCTTGAATGGTTTCAGAGTTCTTAGAACTTGCTGCTTTTGGCATTTGAGCCTATGGGACTTGAACTTGTCTTGAAGAGTGAAGATCGGAAATATCTCGTGGAATACAAGACGTTCGGACTTTGGACACCATTGCATGTGTGTCCTCGGGTGGTGACTGTGTGTATGTTTGAGTTTGTATTTATCCATACCTTTTTGTTCAAAGCTCCCACTCTGCCCCCCGAGGTGGCCAATCACGAGCAAAATTAGCATCTTAAAGTCAATATATATATATATATATAAGCATCAGAATGCAGTCAAGTCGAAGAGCCTTCAATCTTGGCTTCGTCTCCATCGGCAATGTCGATGTTGCCAAGGACCTCAGTGACAACCGGATTGCAAGAGCAGCCAGGACTGCCTATTTCCAGCCCACCCAAGTGACCCAACTCCACCGATCACGCTGAACTTGACTCCACCGACCCCACCACTTGGGTGCAAAGTGTCAGAGGTGAGGTGCAGCTGATGGAGCTAACAGCTAACTTGGTGAGTTGAGTGCAGAAATACATAGAGCCGTGCCGTTTGAGAGTTTTTCCAAAGGAGGGCCTTGCAAGTTCGGTGCTATATTGTAGAAGCTGAGGGAGCTGGTTTTGTACTGAATCATGCTATTAAAGCAAGCTTTTCACGAGACAACTTGAGATGTAACGTACTGAATATTCAATGCACTGAATATCCAGCTCTGTATACGATGGATTCTCTCTCCGGCACCTGAAAGTCCAACGTAAACCAAAGCCAGACTCTAGCACAAGAACTGCAAGCCAGCAGCACGGCAGAGCTTTGGCAAGTACCCAGAAGTTTACCACATGCAGCCCCGGCTCACCACCCAGCAGTATCCCAACAGCAGGTGCTGGCAGACCCAAAGTCACTCAATCATCAATCCCTGTCCAAAGAACTTATCTCACAAGGCTTCTCTCGGCAGTCAAGCCATGTTCAGAAATTGATGTCTTGAGCCTCTTGCCAGCAAGCCCACCACTACCTTGAAGATCTCCTTCTGTACCTCTCAGTAGAACCATCCAAGCGACATCGTGAAAAGGAAAGTGATGAAAGCCCATGCAAATAAGCAACTGCCACTAAAGTAACAAACTTGCTTCTCCCAATAAACAGAACCACTGGTGCCTTCTGCCACAGTCATCACCCCAAAAGGAACATTCCAACATTCAATCCACGAGGCCTCCAAGCTGAAGCTCAAGGCAAGGAAGGCCTGAACAACCCTTCTTCAAAAAGGTTTCTACCATTCAGATGAGCGTTTGGAAGTGTGACATCAAGTTTCCCCATTTGGAGAAAAAATCGAAAAATGCCAAGAACATCTAAGAACGTGTCTACCTCGGTTCTTGACCGATATACGGAAGGCTTGAAGTCGCCTCTTTGACTTCTAAGAAACAGCGTGCATCATCGATTCCAGGTGCTGTGAGCTGGGATCCTTTGATGTAGTTGTACTCCTTCACCCAAAAGCAAGGTGTCTTCGGATAACATGCAATAACATGACTTCGGCAAGGCTGATTGAACATGATTTGTTCTATATGTTTCTCAAGAGTGAGAATCCTTTCCGGGTCCAGCATTTATGTAGACGTTCACACTCCTCTCCTGTGGAGCTTCGATGCCCAAATCTTGCAGTTCTGGATCGTCTCTAGCTTGTAGCAACTGAAAGAAAATGTGGTAGTTGCGCTCCTTGAAGCATACTCAGCGAGTGCAGTTGGAGGAAAAAAATTGTCTCAGGTTGAAAGCGCAGAAACATGACATATCAAAGCTTTGTATGCAATATGCCATCACATCTCTCTCTCCCTCTCTTTTTTCTCGGTTCTTTTGCGTCTGCATGGCTCCCAAGCCGCGGCCTCCAGGCCAAAAGCGGCGCTAGCCAAGGATCGTTCGCCTTGAAGCTAGCCCAAAACCTATCTGCATCCATCCAAGGATCCGGTGCCAGGGATCCAAGTCCCACTCCAGTGCATCAACTCTCAGAGCTCTTCCTGGCAAACTGAAGTGTCCTTTGCCCTGAGTTCTTGGCGCAGGGTTGCGCCATCCAAGCCTGAACTTTCCCAGCATGTTCTCGAGTGGTGCGCCCACATCTTTGACATTCATACCAGGAGCCCCTCCGCCAGACTTCATGGGACGTGTGTACTCTTGTACGAAGATCCATATCAGCTTCCGTCATCTTGGCATAGTGGCATGCCGAGTTCTGGAGCTTTGCTAGGGCTTCCTTCCCACTTCTAAGCGGAATCTTTGCCCAGCACCGCTTGCAACTGAAATTGGTGGCCCCAATGTTCCATCTATGGCCTTCCACTTCATCCGGCATGCCTTCAGTGTCCTGCACCAAAGCAGTCATAATCTGTTTCAGAGTCAGCGTGGCCGAACCTGTGCACTCAGTAGCTTGCTTGCTGCTGATTTCACTATGTGTGCTGTTCCCGCGCAACTCACAAATGACACCCTTTCTATGATGAAGCCACTTGTGTTGCCCTGAGACCGGAGTTTGATGCACCAACTGATTGAAAAGCTCAGCGCGGCCTTTGGGTTTGGCTGGTGCCACCTTGAACTCCATCTCAACCTTCTCGAGATTGGCATGCGTGGATCTCCCAGCACTGCAGTGATTCGAGCAATGGCAGCTTCGTAAATGCTGGCATGCTTCCTGTCATCCTCTTTCAGTTCAGCCGCCAACGCCAAAGGTGCCTCCTTTGCAGCCCTGTGCTTTGCCGCCATTTTTGCTTCCACATACTGGAGCCAGGCTTTGGAGTCTTCTCCAGAGTCCTTGAGCATCTTCTGCGGCACATGTAGAAGCTGAACTCTCTGCCACGCAGCTTCCGGCAGATTATGCCACAGATCCGGTGCAGTCATGCTCTTTGCTCCTCCTTTGAGAGCTGCCCACCCAGCTCTGCAAGGGATGTTGACCTGATGTTTGCCCAGGACAGCTTGGAGCAGGAGCCAAATGCCAAACACCCATCCTCTGGCCTCAGTGGCCTGCCCTGGTGCCAATGCCGTGCACGTGCCCACTATTTGCCATGAACCTTCTTGCCAAACTCCAACAGTCAAGGCTACAGCAAACTTTTTGATCCGGGCATCCTTACAAGTGGCCATCCTTGCAAGTGGCATGTACTCCAATAGCCAAACGATGTGATGGGCCAATCCTCACCGGCCAGCCATGAGCAAACATCCCACTGACTTGACAAGATTCCGGGCCATCAACAGGGATGAAAGACGGAGACTCGACAAGGCCCCTAGCCCACAACATGGCATCTTCATTGGCCTGAACGCTTTGCTGCCACCATCCTGATGATACTTGCACTGCCAAATCAGGTGCTTCATGGTGACCGATACATTGCAAATTGGACATAGCACCCTCTCACCAGAACTGTGTGTCCTCAAAGAGCCTTGTGTCCAGGCATCCAGAGCACCTTGCGATAGACCGTCCAATCTGGCTGCCTCATCAGCGGAAAACAGTGTTCCAACTGTTGTATCCTCCTGGCCCTTTCATGCTTCTGCTCCATTCTCAGCTGACGTAGGAGGTACGGCCATGGGAAGTCTAGGCTCAACTGATTTGCAGGCAGCAGCCCAGTTGCCTGTCTGACCCAATCATCCAAGACTGAGGCATCCCATCCCATCTCCATCAAATACGTCTGCAGCGCTGCCATTGGTCCAGCCACAACTATCCACAGGCTGCGCTGCTGCTTGCAACCGTCGCCAAGACACCCGCCAAGCAGACATCAGCTCACCTCTTTGACTTTCCGGCCACGCCCTAACCAACTGATGCATGCCCTTGAGTTGTCTCTCCACTGCAGTGTCTTTGGGATCTTGCAAGGTTGGGCGCTGGTCAAAAACAATGTCAACACTGCCCTTCTTCTGCAACCCTCCGTGCCGAGCCAGTTGGTGTCTCAAAGTCCGGACTCTCTGAGGCGCAATGCCTTGAGCTTCAACTCCAAAGCTGACAGCAGAGTGAATCGATGTTTTCCACACCCTAATTCGGATTGGCCGAGAACGTAACTTCAGATGCAAAAGCTTCGACTGTCGTCCTCTGCCCTTCAACAGCCGCTTCTGTTGATTGCCAATCCTTCGACGACGCCCACCACTTGAGTCCAATCCCAAGTCCTTCAAGAGGTCATGTGCCCTTGGCTGGTCCTCTGATCTGTGGAGGGTGATCTCCCTCTTGGCCTCAGCAGAGGAAGCAAGGAAACCTGTCTTGCTGACAGAAAGTTGAGGACCAGCCGCCTCCAGCCCAGCCTTCGCCTCCTCATACCCAGCGAGGGCTTCTTTGCACAGCAAATGGGTGTCATTTCCAGGGAAGTCAATGGATATGTCGTCCACCCACACGTCGACAGAGGCCTTTGGGCGCTCGGCCTGAAACTCTTGCAGTACAGGAGCCAAGACTAATTTGGCTAGCAGGGGAGCCGCAGCGCAGCCTGCTAGCATGCCCTTCTTGCAGTGGACTGCCGCAGAGGTGATTCCTTCAGCTTGTAGTAGCCGTGGCCCACTATACACTTCATAGATCATATTCATGTACGCTGGTGGGAAGGCCCACGGCTCGCAGAGCTGAAGGAGCTGGGTGAGTTCCACGGAGTCACAGAAACATTGGAGGTCGATGAGGAGCGAGATGATGTGCCTGTCAGTTGCTCGACCAACTTCACATTTGAGCAATCTCATCAGAGCTACCTGTAGGACTTGAGTGCCCGGTAGACTTCTTTCCCCTGGTAGTCTCTGTCCAATGCTAGTCTATGGACGTAACTTTTCCCAGCGGAGGCGACACCAGGTTCGATACATCACGCTGGTCAGAGAAATTGGCCTTTCGATGTCCGCCTTCTTGGGGAGCAGCAAAACCAAGGTTGTAGCCACTTGCTCTGGCAGTCTTCCTGCAAGTTCCCACTTCCGCATCATGTGGCATAGCTCAATGACCCCTTCAAGTGGCAGATTTTTGAGCAGGGCATAGCTAATGCCATCCGGGCCACAGGCCTTCTGCGGGAGCTTCTTGAGCTTCTTCATTACTTCATGTGGATCCAGGTCTTCCCAACTCCTGGCTTGAACAATGCCTTCCCACCGAAGCCTTTCCCGCTGCTCTGCACTTTCCAGAGGCTTGTCAATGATGCCCCATCTACCATGCCATTGTTGCTCTCGCAAGGCTTGCCTTTGTTGAACTGGTACATCACGAAACGGCTGGACATGCACATTGTCAGCCCCTTTGAGGCATTTGTAGATTCCACTGTGCCCCCGAAGCTTGGCTTGTGATAGCCACAATTGAAAATCACTTGCTTGCTGGCCCTTGCAAAGTCTCTGTTGCACTCAGCTCCTTTGATGAGGAGGGTGATTGGCGTCGGATCACCAGCAATCAGAGCTTCCAGGGGTTGTCTCGCGAAGGAGGGGGGGTTTGGCCCTGTGCATACGAAACGTGTGTCTCGGCCCCCGGTGATGCGGGGGCAGGCCACGCGAAAACGCGAAAACCGCGAAAACGCGAAAACGGCGAAAACCGTGGAAGCAAAGTGCTTGGATTTGACACGGCTCACGGTTTTCTCGACCACCGCATCTGCGCGAAAACGACGAAAACGGCAAAAAACGCGAAAACGACGAAAACGGCGAAAACGGGAAAACGGCGAAAACGAAAGTAAGAGCCTGTTGGAGTGGAGTCAGAAAAGCATGCCTGAGATTGATCTGGGATTGGAAGTTGTTGTCTTGATTGATGATTCGGGAATGGTGGTTGTCACAACGACTATTGTACAACTAGTGCTTGGACTTATAGGGTATATATATATAGTACCCCCCCCAAAGATCTACCATTTTTGCTTGTTTCACGGTTGTGGATGCTCATCCATCAATTTATTGAAAGGGGAGTACCATGTATATGTATATACGCATGTCTTATTGCGCGCTAACTGTTGAGATGCTCACTGCACATCATTGGTTGCAGGGAAGTACGCGTACTGTACGCGTACAATGGTCAATGTTTACTCTATGCTAACTAACTGTTGTGATGCTCACTGCACATCATTGGTTGCAGGGGAGTACGCGTACTGTACGAATACGATGGTCAAACCAAGAAACCAAGAACCAAGATTGCACAGACCTATGACATATGAAAATGAATCTTGGTTTGGGGTGTCCTTTGAGACCCACTGACTGTCAAACCAAGATTCCTGACAAGAGCTGTGCGCAATCTTGGTTCTTGGTTTCATGGTTTGACCATGGTACGCGTACAGTACGCGTACAAATGAATCTTGGTTTGGTGTGTGTGTGTGTGCTTTTTTCAGACCCAGGGTCATCCAACTTGTGTAATGTGCATTGGCTGCATCAAACCTAGATTCCTGACAAGAGTTGTGCGCAATCTTGTTTTTTTGTTTTGTTGGTTTGAGCAATGTACGCATACAAAGCGTTTGTACGCGTACTTTCCTGAAACCAACATGCAGTCAGCATCTCAAGGGTCATCATGCAATAAGACATGACACAAATATTTCAAAGTATGACACGACTATAGTCCCATCAGTTATTTTGATAGAAACATTGCAGGACTATAGTCCCCTCAGGTTACTTTTTGATTAAAAACTGACACAACAAAACTGATAGAGATTGACAGGACTAAAGCCTTTCCATGGGCATTTACACAGACTAAATTCATACCGGTTTTTATGAGTTTGGTAGTTGGAACCATTACAGGGATGACATTGACATTCGCAAATTATTTAGTTTTACATTGTATACGGTGGAAGTGAAGGCATCAAATGTGTTTCAACAAGAACTTACAGTAATATATGGAAAGTGTTTAAGAAAACTATTGGAAGCAAACAACGAAAAATATGTTGTTACACAACTCCTTCATTCATTCATTAGGTCAATTATGACCAGCTTGTTAATGAACTATGGGAAACCGATCTTACTAAAGATGACGAAAAAATAGGAAACATCACAACACCGCACAGAAGAGTTACGGTTTCACACTTTGAGGGAGGCTTGCCATTACCAGAGGGAGTTTGGAGGAAGGGTTTGTGCCATACAACAAGAAAAAATATGAAGAAACAAACACGCAATACCTATTACATCTTAAACACCACCAATAGACATGAATTAGTCAATGGGCTTAGAGATATAAAAGAGTTTTGCTTCTTCAATATCATAACTTTTCAATGAATGAAGCATAATCATTTTTCAGAAATGATATTACTATGTTGGGCGATGGCAGCCATACATGGCCAACCATCAAATAGTTTGTTTTGTGAAAAAACTGAAAAACAGAATAAAAGCACATGAAAATGCAAAAACCAAGCAAAAACAAAGCAAAAGCCAAACAAAAGCAAATAACAAAGCGAAAACAAAGCGCAATAATAGGCAAAAAACAAACAAAACAGCAAAACAATGTAGCTGTGGGTAGTTGTCGGTTTTTTCACTTTTGTATCGCTGTATTTTCGCATTTTTTCGCTTTATTTTCGCATTTGTTTCGTTTTTTCGCTTTTTTCCTAGGAGGGTACAGCAAATATTGCTGACGGGTAAAAGTTCTCATAAGTGCAGAAGTGGTACCAGGAAAAAAGCCCCCCCAAAAAACAAAACAAATGCAAAAATAAAGCGAAAACATGCGAAAATAAAGCGAAACAAATGTGAAACAAAGCGACAAATACGCACAGCTACATTTTTTTGCTTTTTTGTTTGCTTTGCCTTTTGTTTTGTTTTTTTGCTTTGTTTTTGCTTTATAAAACTATTTTGGCTCCTTGTATCTATGGCTGGCGTGCCTGACATAATGATATTAAGGTCTATTCAGTGGAGAGTAATGCCTACAGGATCCATGAAGATGATTTGACTAGAGTGATGGGCGAACCAAATCGTTTTCAAAAATCATATCAGACTGGAATATTGAACTTTGAAGAAAGCATAGGCAAGTGGAGACTGACAAACAAATCAATCAATTTTCCAACCAATAAGTATATATTTTGATATAATGCCTTAATGGAAATTCAAAAACTAGACAATGAACCAACAGAGGTGGTGGATGAATGGGACACCCCCGGAATATGTAAGCAAGTTGAAAAACAAAGCCCCTGTTGTTGGGCCTCTTTTGAGTTGAAAACCTTCGAAAGTGGCGAAGACCACGAAAACGACGACTGCGCGAAAACCACGAAAACGGCGAAAACGACAAAAACGTGCAAACGGCGAAAACCGCAAAAAACGCGAAAACGGCGAAAACGACGAAAACAGCGAAAACGACGAAAACGGCGAAAACGACGAAAGCGGCGAAAACGGCGAAAACGGGAAAACGGCGAAAACGACGAAAGCGGCGAAAACGCGAAAACGGCGAAAACGGGAAAACGGCGAAAACGGGAAAACGGCGAAAACCGTTTTCTTGCTTTTCTCGTTTTCACGCTCAAAGACCAGACAAGCAAGAAGACGTAAGAAAACTGGAAAAAACTTCCACACGGCAAAACGCGAGAACGGTTTTCTCGGTTTTCTAGTTTTCTCGGTTTTCTCGGTTTTGCCGTCGCATCGCGCGGGCCACGACGCAGGTTTTGTGTTCTTAGTGGCGAAGGGGGGGTCTTGCGAAGGGGGGTCTCGCGAGGCAGTGTTGCTAGCGCGACAAGGTAACCTATCCAAGTTCAAGAACAGAATGCACAGCGGTGGCCAAGCTGTTTCTGAACCTGGGGGAACCTTCCTGACTTAATACATATTGCCGGTTTTACAACTCAACTAAATATAATTCGTAATCAAGTTTCTTGGCTGAACAAAGATTTCTAGTTCATTTTGCGCTTAACGGACTCTAAGTGCATTGCTTGAACACTCATGGGCG